GAAAAGGTGGAGAATCCCGCATCCAATCAAACATTCGTGCTGTTTATTCTGAGTACTAAAACAAACTGCTTAAAAAACAAAAACAAGGGAATAAACCAAAATGAAGGAAAACCAAATGAAGTGGCCACAAGACCGTTTTGCTAATGGGAGCAATCAAAGAAAACTGCAAGCCATGTGGAGACAAGACATAGAGAACAACAACAACAAAAGGACATAATTAATTCTCTGTTGCAACTTGCTCATTCTTGCTCTGCATCTCACACAGCCAACTTTACTGATGCTGCAGAAGAAACTCTTAGTCTATTCAGAAAGGTAATATCAATTTTGAATGAAGATTAAGTCAATAAAGAATGAGGTGGACATTACATTGCCGGCCCAAATACAACAGTGTTAGTATAACCTTCACATTTGATACTGTCACAGTAAAGTTATTTTGAAGTTATGATGCCATGATCTCGTAGAACCACCAAACCTGGAGCAGTCTGCAGCCGTTTATTTGAAGAGTTTTGGGTTGTAAGAAAGCAAAAGCAAAATGCCTTTCCTGAGGCAGTGTGAATGCAAATTCCCCAATATCACTTAAATATTTTGAGAATATGCTACATATGTCTAGAAAAGGTTCAAATAGCAGTGTTAATGGTATTTAAAAGTCACATTTTTTTATCAGGTTTTCACTAAGCTCATTGTGTTCCATACTGAGAAGGAAGATGGGGAAGGAAAAACAGCTCCAAGGAAGTAACGAATAACATTAAGAATACCTCCAGTATACAGCATGAACAATAGAAGAAACTTTGATCCCACTTAATACAAAGGATGTACTGGGAATGGTGAAAAATTCTAAAAAAGACAAATACATGTTTCAAAAAAGAGAAATATGTGTGTTTATTTTCCATTTTGTTTTTTAATGTATTCTTCTTGTTTTACATGGAATAACAGGAAGTTAACTTCAGAAAAAAAAATTAAAATTTTGGACCCATCGACTGATCCTTTTTTCACACAGGTGAATAGGTCTCCTAAAGAACATGGGCTTGACACCCAAAAGGACAATCATCTTGTGTCAAAACTGACCCTACCGGGAAGATGCAAGAGGCATTGCTATAAAGAAACAGAGGACATTTACTGGCAGCATCTCTCTTAGAAAACCACAGCACCAAAAGAATAAATTGGTTAACGTAAGACTAAAACCTCAACCCCCAGGAGAAACTGTGTAAGCCATGGGCAGCTAGCAATGGGACAAAGCCCAGCTATTCGAGCTTTACCCACAGACCCTACTGAACGAGTGGGACAATTCATGGGCTTCTGAAATGAGGAAGGCAAGCTGTTTGCACACATAGTGTAGAGGGAAGGTGTGAATTCAGAAGCATGGCTAAGAAACCGTGGCAGAAATAGCCTGCATGTCACACAAAGAGTGCCTGCAGGAGGCAGAGGGCTGGGGACTCCCTGGACACACTTGACACTGCTTTCTCCAGAAAAAAGAAACCCCCTCAAGCTACTGTAAAACAAATGAAGTAAATCCATGTGGGACTCGCTCCAGTGAGATAACTGGGCGAATGGAGAGAACCGTAACAGCCATGAGAAAGCCGAACAGACTGATGTCCCCGGTATGTGCCGTATGTGCTACTGCCAAGTGGCAGACAAGATAAATTGTAGGAGGGAAGGGAGCATTCTAGACTATCCTTCAGAAAAGACCTTCAGGTAGAGGGAATAATGAAAGTAAATGTGCAACAGACGAGGCAAAGAAACAGAAACTGGCATCTCTCTTTCATTACAAGATTTGGCTTTTTCTTTTTCTCCTCCTGTTGCTATTACATAATTTATCAGTGACTGAGGCAGGTTTTAGGACAGTGTCCACCGAATGAGTGGCAAGGAATAATTTATAACTTCTGAGGCTGCAGCAGCCTGGCCTCACTCTACTTTTTTAAGGCCCAAAAGAAAAAGTTTCCTGGACTTGGCAGGAAGTGATGCCTGGAAATACACGGCAACTTCTCATCCTTCATAGCACAGAAAACACATACTCATCCTGAATTTCAGCTTGCTCAGGAGGACTGCACATGTGAACCTAGGTAGTAGGACGGTGTGCTACCCATGGTGAGATCTAACAAGAGGACAAAAGGACCATTTATCACCCCTGAGATTTGTTAAAAAGGTTAAGCTGACTCCTACATGTAACTATGTTCTCTCTTACACAGAAAACAAAGCTGGCACTTCACACCCCCCATTGTTTCCTGGAGCACTGGCTGGCAGGGATGGAAAGCAATGCAATCTCTCCTGTGTAAGGTGAAGTTAAACTGTCAAAACATCAGCCTTGATGAGGTGTTTTCTGACGAAATTGGACTTAGAAACACCAAAAGCTTGATTCTGATCACATTAAGTCACAGGCTGGCCAATAGTATAGAGAGGGCAAGACCGAGGTTCAACTTGTTTTATGCGCAATACTAAACAGCCATCAGTGGAGATGGCTTGAGGCAATAATAAATCACAGACAGGAGTCAAACTGCTAATGTGGGATGTCCCAGTCCTTGTCACCTCTCAGAGGGGATCAGTCTGTTCAGGTGTGAGCCTTTGGCTGGATCTGAGCATCCATGGACTTCTAATTAATGGACTGAAGCAAGTTTTCTTAGTGACAGATTAGGCCTCGGAATTGTGTACAGTGAAAGACCTGGTGTGAGATTAAATGGTCTTAATCCTTTCAACCTGCTAGGTGATGAAGGTAAAAAGTTGCAAATAGCCTTCTGAAACGTCCTCATGTACAAAAGAAACAGCAAATCCCAAATCTTTGGGTGAGCTGAAGCACTAACGTCAATGGGACTCCCACGGGAAGTTTTGGGAGTTTGCTTTAGCAAGAACAGAGTCACTAAATAGGTCAAAGTTGCTACTTAAAACAGGTCAGTATGTCAAAAGCCACAAAGCAAAGTCTAGGATAAAACAAAGGCCAAAGAAAATGCCCTTTATATTAATTTTGAGGAGCTGCATATTGGGCTTTTGAACCATTCACCAGCCATCTACAAAGGAAGCTATGGGCTGACTACGACAACTAAACTTGAAAGGGGAAGACATTCCTTTGTAGTTCATGCTTGCTGGCTTTGAAGTCACTCTGAGTCTTACCAGTGACTTCAATGGGACTGGCTTTGCACTTTTATATTAGCCATTGTTTTATCCTTACTCCTTTCAAAATTCCAGACAATAACGTTTCTTTTTGTTGTAATCCTGATAGAGCAATTAGGCTCCAGTCAGCACCTGCACCCGACTTTTTTTCTTAACACAGCATGCTTTGAGCTCCTCTTCTCTGAACAGAGTTATGAGGTCTGAATTAATGGTGTCTTTCTGCTCTATCCAGTGCCTCTGTTCTTCATGACTTGCTGAAGAACATGAAATTCTCCAAGGCTTGTACAGCTGATTCTTGGTTAAGACCAACTGTAGGTTTCACCTATGGTTTTATGAGTGTGCTTAACAGAAAAATAAAAGTTTCTTTTTTCAGGCAATTAGGCAATAACAAAATGACAGAATGTGGATTAAAGCATTAGCTTTAGTCGGTATATTCAAAGCATGTTTTTACTCATGAGTTCAGAAGCTGAATTGCATTCCCATTGTAACAAGCTATGAAATACTGCCTCATAATTAAAAAAAAATAAAACAGTTTTGAAATGATAAAGCATTTTCCTCCTATCTTTAATATATTAAATAGATATGTCCATGCCATAAATACTTGTCCAGTTTTCTTATGAGGTTCTCATCCCCTCAAGGTACCCCCCCAATCTCGCATTATTTTGGTGTTGAACATGCCAGCCTCAGAGCTTTGCCTGCACAATTCTCCAGCCCACAACACCCACCAATACTCCTGCCCAACTTTGGGCTACATCTGGACCAGTCCCTGCTTCCCTGATGGTGCCTTTGCCACATGTGATTGAGCAAAGGCACCCAGGAGAAAGCATTTCTGCAAATGTTTACTTGTACCTCTCTCTGCTCTCATTCACTTAGGGGGGAGCTGAATGCCAAACGACAGACCCAAATGTTGGGTGCTTCCAAAACCTGTAGCTACACCACCAGCCCTGGAAGTTCAGCCATGGGAAGGATGAGGAGAGGCCAGGGCAAAGCCCACCTTGACTCTAGCCAAAACAACCCCTGGCTCTTCGAAGCACCTTTGGGATGCACCAGGCATCTACCACAAAGAATAGCGAGGAATTTTTATGAGAGCCTCTGTTTCACAGAGCTGCCACACAGAGGGATTCTACAACACAGAGTAGCTCGTCTGGGAAGGGTAGCTAATGGGATTAGTACCACTTATGCCCTGTCTTCTTAGGCGATTTATATTTCACTAAGCTCTTGCAAGCTGTGTCTCTCTCTCCCTGACTGCTCCATGGTTTCACTTTGCAGCAGTGGCAGAGGAGTCCCAGAGAGGAAAATACACTGTGGACTTAGACCTGATACAAAACCCAGACACAAATGACACGGTGTTTTTCCTCCAGCAAAAAAATCCCCATGTCAAGAAACAGCATCAGTGATTGCAAAAGATGAAGATTTTTTCTTAGCTTTCTATAATGTTTGTTACAAGACAAGACCACAAGATTAATTAATTTATCTTTTTTTTTGCTGCTGACTTTTCAAATGGCTAATTAAATCAAGTTGAATGGCTGTTGTCCTTTGAAATATTTATGAATCAAAACTAACGTGGCACCAGGGTGGGGAGGGCTGTGAAATGACGCAAGGGATAATTTTGTCCAGTTATTTATTAAGGGCTTGATTCTGCCCCAGAATCTGTGGTAGTTATCTAAGTGTCTGTACTGAAAGCTATACCCTCATTTTTTTTGAGTAAACCTTAACGCGACCCGTGTGCATACAACCATGCTCTAAAGTAGCAGGCAAAGTGGTATAAATGTATATTTATGCTTATAGATTTTTCTGTTTTGTTAAATACAGAACAAAACAAAGCTCCTATGCATAATCTATAGACTTAAAGCTATTTACTGGATGGTACACAAACAGAGACATATATACAGGAGGAGCTACTTGCCATCAACACAGGAAGGTCTGTTTCTTGTAGTTCCAGCCACTTTCCCGGGTAGACAGGAGCATTTTACTGTTTGTGATCTTTCCTCAATTCGATTCTTATTACAGCATCTGTGTGCTGCTATAACTTCACACGTTCCTCCTTCTGGCAAAAAAAAAAGAAAAAAAGAAAAAAAAAGAAAAAAGAAAAGAAAAAGAGAACATTGACACTCTGATTAGGAAGAGCAGCAGTGGCTAATCAAAGCACCCAAGCGTGCTCGTGTCTGTGCCTCTGCACGGCTTCTGTACAGGTGGGATTACAATGCTATTCCCCCAATTAGGTGTGCTCTAGTCTAAGCTGGGTGCTGCTATACTTCAGTTTTAACAGGAAATACAGATAGATGTCCCTCTACAGTAGCTACAGGTTGCCTGGCTTATACTAGAAGCTTCTCTGACATCAGAAGAATTTTTGACATAAAAATGACTGTGTCAAGGTCTCAGCCTGAAGAAATGTAGGTAAATGTGCAATTAACTGTTGGCTGATATTCTGCTCGTAATATTGAAAGCTTCTTCCCCCCAAATAGTCTTTTGTACAAGGACAGGGGCTAAGGGAATCCATCTAGAAATAAGCTTTTACTCCAAATATTTGATTCTATGCCTGTACCCAGCCCTTAGCAGGTGGCAATCAGCCTCTGAAAATTACAGGATGGTCCAACAACATTTCCCTTTGCTACCCCACTCACTAAATGCGCAGGAAACATTCCCATTGCGTGCAAGATCACCAGGCTTAATTAGTCTTCTCCCTAATTGATCTTAGTGAGCATTTGCAATAGTTTGATTAGGTGAAGAACACGAAGGGGTGATAGACAGATAAATGGTGCCTTAAGGTTTATGAGTACTTGGTGCTTGCGGCATATGCTGTGCGCAGAAATGAAGTGCCAAGCACACTGTTCCCATTCACCTTAGCAGCGCAGTGCAAGGAGATGAGACGCCACAGTGGACTAATGCACTGCCCAACTAATTTCTCGATTCCTCAGTTCAGATTGTATTTAGCTCATAATCACCCAGTACTTAATAGGGCCAGCCTGTTCCCCACTGATATTTGGCTACTTTAGGAAATTGCGGCATAAATTTGGCAGGATTTGTTTAAACTTAGTACAAAACATCGTGCGCAGCCTGCTAAAGAGCAGGATGTGTGAGGAGGTTTGCTAAGAAAGCATTATTAGTTTATGCCACTATCAAATGCTAACTGCATGTTGCTTTTACTGTAGCATAACAAGCAGTATTGCTGGTTTTGGCTTTCACCCTCTTTTGACACAACTTGGAGAGCTTTATAGTAACCCTGCAACCAGGTACAAGAATAAGCAGCACAGAGATGTTGATCCACGTCTGGCTGTGAACAAGGGATTTTGGAAGAGGTCTAGGAGTCTGGTGGTATATCCCTGCTCAGAAGCAAGTCCTGTTACCTGGTGATTCTACAAATGTGACATTTCTGTAGTGAAGCACTGGGGTAGGTGGGTAGCGAGGAGGTCATACACCAACGTGCCATAAGGTGTTCCCACAGTATTCAGCAGTACAACTACCACTGAACAGGGACTCCACAAAGTGTGCAAATGTTTTATAATACCAAATTTTCAGGAAAATCTTTGAACACCTATTAGGGTAAAGGAGCTGAAGCTGAGTCGTCGCAGGGTTCAGCACTGATGAGTTTGCAAGCATGAGACAAGACTAACTCTGCAGTAAATATTTAACTCATCTGGAGAGAAATGCTGCTTCATGTATTAGTTATTAGGTGCATTTGGCCTGCTGACAGAAGCTGTTTGAAAGCCAATAGGTGCCACAGAAGAGTGATCCCAACAATTCAGAAAGCCATCATCTGACAAACGGTCTTTTAAGTGTCTCTTAGGAGTAAGGGATTGTGACAATCAACTCAGCCCCAAATGCTAGTATTTTTCTATGAAGTAATTCTTCAGATAAACTCCCTGTTCCCCCATCCAAATCATATTGAAAGCAATGAAAATATTCTCATTGGTTCAATTCATCTTATGGTCATGCCCTAAGAGAAGAAAGATTTGTGATTTTATTGATTGCAACCTCAACAATAAAGATAATGTACACAGTAATAAGCATTTCTAATTTTAGGCTACATAAACTCTGCGATAAATATCTGTGAACAAGATAAATGCTTAATTTTCTCTATTAATTTGCTGTATGAGTACTAATAATCACATGAGCTAGTCTTGCTTATTTGGTTACCTATTCAAAATAATGGGTTGTGTTGGACGAGCTTTATAACACCTTAGATTGTTATGTGGAAGCTTAAGATACCGCAGCAGCAAAGAATTTAACTTAAAGTGTACAGTTGTTTAGGAGTGGCAAAATATGATGAAACTAAAAAAGCAATGAAAATTCACTTTTTTATCACTAGACAGTAAAGTACATTAATTGGAACTTTTATCTGCATGGACTGTAACTGCAATGCAAACAATAATAATAGCAATAATAAGAAGACCCTTCCCAACACTGATACAGAAGGAAAAAACCAACTCACATGGAGAAGGTTCTGCCTATTACACATCCTGTTTTCCTGTAAAATTTGTTACGTGGAATCAGATTTTTCCATTAAAGTATGTTTATGAATGACTACCGGGTAGCATTGCATGCAATGTGTTTTGCTGGTACGTTTTACCGATCATGCATATATGTGTTAGACTTCTTAAAAGTCATATACAAAATGAGAAGAGAGAGAGGTACCCAAATACAAATGGACACAGTGAGATGAGGAAAACAACTCATTGAAAAAGCACACTCTTGATTACGTTATTCACAGAAATACGTATACCACAAATACACTATGTGGGGGAGAGGAGACATTCAATTTAAATCTCTGTTTCGCTGTAACAAATGAGGAAACAAGTCAGAGCAGGGAAAGAAACACCAATCAGTTTTCAGTTTCCACTGAAAAAATTTAACATATTTAGATGTATATGTGAAGTAGCTTTTTATTCTGTGATTGTTAGTTTTCATTTCCAATTTCCTTTTCTGGAGGGAAGAAGGAAGGCAAGAGGAGAGGGCAAGTGCCAAGAAATGAGGTAATCCCAATTACAGCATCTCAGCTTCTGAGCCAGTGATTTTTTTCTCAGCAGTTTTTCTAGATTATAGGAAGACCTGGCAAGATGTCACAGTGCTGAGAGTCTTGAAAAAACGTGAATTATTCTCCTGATAGGCTGTGAGTGCAGCGAAAGTTTGAATCTTTGTCACAGAACAGAATTGTCTCTGTTTTTGGAAGTTTATGGTCTATTGAGCTAAGGTAGCTTCTAGCTTTGTTTCCACAATAACAGTCTTGCCCAACTCATTCAAGCCAATAGGGGATTTGCCATTGATCTTAAAAGGAGAGGAAAAGACCCTAAAATCCTCTACACAAGTGTCTTCTGAATGTCTGGTTGCTAGTTTCATTTCATGAAGTGGCTGCTTTATCCACCTGTTTTAGATTTTTTTTTTTTAATTCCCTCCTGCCCCAAGAAAATCAGAAAAAGATTTGAAATGGAATAGAAACTTGCAAATCAGGACTAGCTTTCCTCTTTCTTCAAGCTTCAGAAATGAATGGGAATGTCCTATCACGACATATCTTTTTCATATGAAACATTATCAGGACTTGATAGTAAAAACAGCTGAATCTTTGTGAGTGCTCAGTTCATACAATGCCCTTAGCTTTCTACAAAGTAAATGTGATGCTTACCAAAGCAAGAGGGACAGAACTGACTGATGGGAAGGATTCTAGGCTGTCAAAGACAGCAACCGCCTGTGGCATTATGGCTCCGCTCCCTCGTATTTCCTCACCTTCCAGAAGCCTTTGTTCTGCATAAGGATTAAAATATGAAACTGTAGAAATTACACATCATTCTTACTGTAAAGCAGGGACAACTGTTTGGCTAGTCCTGCAAATGATTTGATTCTAATTGGAGGTCATTAAACTCCTGAAGTCGTGGTCATTTCTGTTTGCATTATAAAACCACCTTGAGTTTACACACCACAGAGTGAAATATTTTATCATAAGTACGAGCCTGCTGTGAGTGGCTGTGATTGAAAATATCTAATCACCTATAAGGTCTGAGTGCATGCCTGACAGAAGCCAAAAGCCATCTTCTAGACATCTCTGTTTTTTATAACTCTAGCTGAGAGGTAATAATAAAAGCATATTTTACACTTCAAAATTATAACTCACCTCTCTATTCTAGCCAAGCCTGAACATATCAGTAAACAAACATAAAAAAGGCAAACAGCAGTACTGATTTGTGTTGTACATTGTGGAAGTCATTAACTATGACTCAGGTAGCAAAACTTATATGTTCTCTCTTTGACAGTGATGACAATTTAATAGTATTTGACTCTGCTGAGTTACATGGAGCATCCTGCAGCAATGAGAGAGGTTGTTTATCAAAATGATAAACATGTTTTCATTTCCGCCTTGGCTGCATGTATGTGATCAGAAGTCTAAGGCCATCAAGAATTCACTTATTCTGGCCACCAGGCAGACATTAAGCTATTCAGGACCATCTGTGCTTGAAATGAGTTCCACTTAATGGACCTTCCTAGGGCAGGTCAGTCATAATGAATGCATGTGTGCATGAATGCACGAGCAAAGCACCGCTTAGGTGAGAATTCTTGGGTTGTTTGGCGGAGGCACAGACGGTTGATAGATAAGATATGCCTTTCTTTTGGGGGTCATACACCCAACGATTTTCAAATTCAGATCCTCTGTTACATTTGCTTCTACTTCATCGTCAATGCACCACGCAACCTAATCCAGCTGAAGGTTGTTGTTAGAACTTGTTCGTGTTACTTGCATAAAATTGTGGTACACAAACCACTCCATAGGCTCAGCTGGGCAAATTCTTCCCTCTATTACACCACCAGCAATCTGCCGTGGGAATATGAGCAAAGGAAATCATATGGACCAACTTTATCAACGTGTCCAGGCACTTCATTAAGACTATCACTGGTTTTGATTGCTCTATTTATTTATACAGCTTCAGCTAGACAGTCTACATGCCAGCGTAATCATCCTGTTTGGGGTCATATACCTGTATGTTATTCTGATAAACACTTAAGCAAACACAGATGTTGCTAGATCTAGGAGATGAGAAAAAACTTTAAACAGAATTA